GGAGCACTGGGTGTTATGCACAAACAATGAATCATGGAACACTACATCTAAAACTAATGATGTAATGTATGGTGATTAACATAAAAATAAAAAATTAAAAAAAATAAATAAATAAAAAAAAGGAAATCTACTACCAGCATATTAATTATATAACTATTAATTAGACCAAGCACAAAGATGGCCAGTAAATTTCTTATGATATGAAGTATTAAAACAATCTTAATGATGTTGCTATCATTAACTATCAAAATATGTGACAAATACCAGAACTTATAGAATAACACACAGCATATTTTATACTTATTTTGTCTGTTGCAGATGAAAAAAAGGATACAGCTATGTAGTAGTGATTACTTAATAAAGACATCTAACTCATAAGTCAGAAATATCTAATCAATCACTGACCTTGTAGAATGTAAAAATATATCACATTAAAAATTTTCCCCAGTTATTTAGCAAATAGCCTGTTATCCTACTTCATGTCTGCTTAAGGAACAGATGCAAGACCAGTTGCCTCTGTTTGTACATTATTAAGCTGCTGGAATGCATTTAAACTACTTTGGAGGATACTAAATTCATTCTTAAAAATAAACCAACTGAAACACTATTACATATTATCTGAAAATAGAATCAAAAGTCTAGGCACATCATTTTAAAAAGATCCCACAGAGAGAACACAAAACCAAGAAAAACATTAATAATGACATTCTTGATATTTAAGTTCAACTTCAGAAACTTCTTAAAATTCCATGTTGTCTGTGTTAGAAAATATACCCAGAGAGCAGAGAATATAAAAACAAAGATGAATATTCTGTTTAAAATTCCAACTTGCAGGGTTATATAATTTATATTTAATATTTATTTTATGTACAAATACGTAACAAAGGAGAAAACTAAAACTGTATTTTAAAAAGTCTGATTTTTTAAAAAACACCTCTCAGACAGTAGTATCCATTACTAAATGAACCCAAATGAAAAAGTTATTAATAGATATAGAATAAAAAGCAGAATGGTTTTCGGGGTGCCTGACTGGCTCAGTCAGAGGGGCATGTGTCTCTTGATCTTGGGGTGGTGAGTTTGAGCCCCACTTGGGAATAGAGATTACTTAAAATAAATAAATAAGAATTAAAAAGTAGAATGGTTTTCGGGGTGCCTGACTGGCTCAGTCAGAGGGGCATGTGTCTCTTGATCTTGGGGTGGTGAGTTTGAGCCCCACTTGGGAATAGAGATTACTTAAAATAAATAAATAAGAATTAAAAAGTAGAATGGTTTTCTGGTAGAATGGTGTAGAATTAAAAGTAGAATGGTATTTAGAACAAATCATTTCTAAGAACATAAAATTACCAAGACATTGTTTTAGGCTTTTTACTGATTATACAAAGTCATACTATTTTTTCAGAACAATTAACCAGAAGGTAGACAGCATGAGGGTAAAGACTTTTGTTATGTTCACCGCTATATATTCAAAGTCTGGAACAGTACTAAAAAAATACATGTTGAGGGGCGCCTGCGTGGCTCAGTTGGTTAGGCGTCTGCCTTTAGCTGAGGTCATGGTCTCGGGGTCCTGGGGTCGAGCCCCGCGTCAGGCTCCCAGCTCGGCAGGGAGCCTGCTTCTCCCTCTCCCTCTGCCCCCACTCGTGCTTTCTCTCTCTCAAATAAGTAAATAAAATCTTTTAAAAAAAAAAATACATGTTAAGTGAAAAAAAGGTAACTTATCTTTTTACAGAAAAGTTACCACTAAAAAAAATTATTTTAAGCACTATTTCATAGAACCAGACAATTCAGATGATATAACAGGCATATCTAATTCTATTATCTAGAAAAGTTCCATGGTCTTAGAATTAAAATCAGCAATTAAATGAATCAAAACACAAAATAATCCCTCTTACCATCTCTTCCTCCATCAGGCAAAACAAAACAAAATTAATTCTCAAAAATAATGCCCCACAATAGCTTTTTAGCAAGAGTTCTGTTTCATAAAAATGTATACAG